TTAAATCTAAAAGCCTTATCTTGACAGAACATGTTTGATATTCAAAGTGTACTTACATCTGTGAGCGTTGACTCACTACATTGAGTAATAGTGATCTAAATATTCCAATAAAATGTACATCATTTCAGAGCACATTTGTTTGCTTTCAATCTATTACAATATGAATATTCTGCCTCTCACACTCACTCACTGATGGTGGTGGTGTAACCCTCAACAATGGTCTCTTTGTTTACATTAAATCTTATCTCTTCTCTACATACATAGCACCTTCAGCTGTTCCTCATTTAAAAAACATTCATCAGATTTGATCAAATTAAGTTAACTTGAAATGTTTTGGTCACTTCTGTTTAAATCAAGACCAGAATACATCAGTTTAGACAGCGTCTGTGTTTCCCACCTGGCTGCCTGTGTTGTGGCTCTGACCCAGTTCTTCTCCAGTACCTCCAGGGAGGACGTTGTTCTTTATTCCTCAACTTCACTGCAGGAGGAAACGTCGCTCTGGTCTCATCCTCAAAAAGAGATGAAGAGGAGGAGGAGGAGGAGGAGGGCACCTCAGGGTCACTCTTCCTCACATCTGTATCTTGCTCTGCCTTCTCAAATCCATCCCTCCTTCCAAAGCTGGACGTACACCTGGGTGGAAAAATGTACGGCCAGTGGTTTGTGACTGAAGGGCAGCAAAATGAGGACGGACATCGGTCGCTGCTGAACAGCTGGGGAGTGCAGGAGGAGCTGCGAGCACCTAGCCAGCTGCAACAACGACTGGACGTTGATGTTGGGATTTGGAGCTCCCTGACTATTCTGTCATGGTGAGAAGCTGAAATGGGCAAAACCAGATTGCCAGGAACCAGAGACACACAGCTGTTCCACATCAGCACGCGGAGGCTTGTAACACCATCAACTGCAATGCCAAGAAAGAGTAATTTACTGAGAGGGATAGACGTTCAAGCAGTGCTAATTAGTGTTTTGTTGTTGTTGTTTTTGTTAATGAAAATAAAAATTGTCTCCTTTTATGAAGAACTATTAAAATTAAGTTAATGCTTTAGATTACAGCCCTTGAGTTAGTTTTTTTGATTTAGTGCATATGGGATATAGAGGAAGTTTATTTAATTAAACATGTTTTCTGATTACAGTAACAGTCTTGATATTGAAATTATAATTTATTTTAGAATTATGATATAACTGTATTTACAATTCGCAACATATTTAAAATGGAGAACATATTACTATAAATATAGTTCAAAATATAGTTAAAATTTTATATCATTGTTGTTGATAGGGAACGCAATATTAGGCTTAGCCTGGGGATAAGGATGTGCTTTTATAGCTGAACTATTAGGCTGACCCCATTTTCACTGTAGTTACAGGGTATATTAAAGTTTAATATACGTTGTTTTGTTTTTTTTTACATTCAGTATTAGTGCTATACATAGTTTGACTCCTTTTCATGACAGAGCTGTGGTGAAAGGACATAAAGCTATTTGCTGGTTTACTGTTAGTACTTTGTCCGCATGTAATTTAGTTCCCTCCAAATATTTCCTGTTCTTCACATGTAAGTATACCCAGTGAGTATTTCCTTGTACCCTATATGTACGAAATATTACACAAAAAACACTATCTGCCTGTTATCTAAAGCATTACCAAATTGTAAAATGAACAAATAAGGAAAACATGAAACCAGCAACCATGAAATGCAAATAAAGTAAGGGGAGAAATATAAAAAATAACTAATAAATAGTAAGTTGTTAATCAATAATAAACTGATTTAAACTTTAGTGAGTACATCAAAATGTATATATAAAGTGTATCATGTAATATTCTGTATCTATCAAACCTATTTCTGTATGTCTTTGTAAGTTGTACAGGTAAAAATGTAAACACAAGCGCTGTTGACTCGTACCTCCAAAACCCTCTCTGCGTTCTGTGACGGCCATCACTTTCCCCGGCCCGTATTTCCTCAGATCTGGTTCCCATGGTGACAGCACAGGATCACCAGGTACCAGACAATGTGTGTGAGCTCTTGTGTGGTTCACCATGTCGAGGGAGCAAACCAGCTGCCTCTGGGAGGAGACAACCCCCAAACTGGCCCTTCCTGGATGGTCGAACTCGACAACCCAAACTCCTCCGCGGCTCTGATTTTTCACACAAGAGGATGTCAGCATCCAGAGTGACTCTGTTAATAGTCAGAATTTGCAGCTTTCTGTCATGATTTAGACACATTTTTTGTTAAGCTGACTCTGTACTCCAGCACATTTGGATTTGAAATTTAATGATGACGTTGAGATTGATTGTTACAGCTTTAATTTTAGGCTCTTTACATCCACATTAGATTAACTCTGTACAGGTAAAGCCCTATTATATACACAGGCCTCAACTTCAGAAGGCAGAGAGTAATTGGACAAGTTAAAATAGACTTAAATAAAGTCATTATATTTAATATTTGGTGTCAAATCCTTTGTGGTAACTTACGTCTCCAAGATCTCCACAGACATCAGTAGACAGTGCCAGTGCTTACAATAAGCCCCATGGTCATTGTTTCATTTCAAATCCACTGTGCTGGAGTAGAGCTAAACTCTAATAATCTGTTGCTGTCCCAATACCTGCCTGTATATGATGACATTAGTGCAGTGTGTGATCATCTTTTCACCTGTACTTGCTGTATTACAGTGCCCAAGTAGTAGAAGCCATCCAACTCTCTCCTGGCCAGCACACGGCATCCTGGAAAAGACTCTGGACTCAGGGTTTGACCAGACAGCATGCAGGCGGTAACGGGGTGGAGAGGATTACCCAGACTGCACCTGGGTGACCACAGGAAGCCAAGAAACAGCTCATATGTCATTGGGATGATAAATCGAATCACAGCAACATACAGTATCTTAAATTTGCCAGCCTGCGTGAACACTTCTTTGGTTCAAAAGGTCACATGCTAAACTGAAGCTAAACATGTCAGTTTTGGTAACATTTTCTGCTACGTAGCTATAACAATGTTTGTACTACATTGTTAAATAACTAGGTAACCATGGAACCCCACCTGAACAGAGGTGATGACGTGTTGTGCGGGTTGTGTGGGATTAAGACTGAAGTGGACGGACAGCAGCACTTGAGTGGGGAGACTGTTGGCACTGATGACTGAAGATGATGAACACACAGTGGAATCACCTGACAACATACACAAAGCACACATTTCTTCAATGGTAGAATGAACTAAGTACATTGAATAAAGTACTATACTTAAGTAGATATTTGTATTTTACTTGAGTATTTAGATTCTATACAACTTTATACTCCACTAAATCTCAGAGGCAAGTATTGTACTTTTTTACTCCACTACATTTGTCTGAGAGCTTCGCTTACAGTTCTTATTCCTGTCCAGCGAAAAGCATGTATCTCCAAATTTGATCATTTTTAATTTTTTCTGATAAACTGACTGATAAAGTATTGAAGTCTGCCCTGTGTACGGCAGTAAGTGTGTGTCCAAAACCTTCTGATTGGCTGGGAGACAATGCAGATCAGTGGGGAAATTTGCTATGACTTAAAGAAAGTAAGAAGACACACGTAGCATGTCTGGAGATTCATCCTTTAAACTATACAAAACTGATGCCAAACTGTAGATTCTTCCTCATTCAATTTGTTTTTACCAGTCCTGTCTGCTACCCATTAAGTTCAGTCATACCTTCTCCAGTACTCCATTCAAACCAACTGGAATCACATAACAGCTCCCTCCTGTGGCCTGGGTCAGACAGTGCAGGTAGTCTCGAGTGTTGCTATCCAGTTGACCACCTGAGTCCTGCAGGTAGAAGACGTTCACAGGCCTCCCAGCCGCCATGGCGGGCAAGGATGTCAGCACGGCCTCCGGATGGTCGGGGAGGTCTGTGCAGAGCAGGTGGATGGCGTGACAGGTGGGGTCAGCAAAAGCAGTACTCAGGGCGACCAGGAGATCCCTGCCGGGGCTGCAACTGATGGAATGGATCCAGGACAGAGCCATGTACACTGTGTCAGGAGCACAGGGGAGCATGTGGTGGGACCAGCAGGTCAACTGTAAAAGTAGAGAGAACATCAGTCACGTCAAGGAACAGGTGACTCAAAAAATATTCCCCTTATAGACTTAAAGGTAAAGGTGTTACCTAAATTAAATATTCTCTCAGTTACATTATAGGCTTTAACTCATAAAGTAATGATATTAAAACACTTATTGAAGTAGTATTTACTAGACTAAATCATTTATTTAGTATGTCAGTCAGTCCAGAACATCATATCATCATCTGAACTTTGATATTAACAGTGATTCCTAATGATTTTGTGACCTTCTGACCTTACATCAGGTTGTGAAAGGTCGGTCAGGTCAAAATGTTCCCTTCATAGACACTTGACTATGACTTGACTTAACCTGACAAAATCAACACTTTTAACTTGACTTTTACTTAAACATAACTGACTTCAAAAAGACGTAATTGATAGCATCTCTAAAAATTCAACTTTCAGCTCAGAAATGACAAATGATTGTAATTGTTACACAGAAAAAATAACACACCTGATAAATTTGCTTTTAAACCTTATAAAGTTTTTGCAAAAGTAATAATTACCACTTTTAAATAATGGTTCAACTTGTTGAATAGGCAAATTATGACTTTGTTCAGGACTCAAAACATAAAGTTTAGAACTTGTACTTGACTTGGGATTTCATACTTGCAAAACAATGACTTTGTCCCAGAAGGTACCTCAAAAACCAGAGGCTTGGTTGGGATTTACTGCAGATGTTTATGTTCTTATAGCGAATGAATCCTCTGCTTTTTTTGGTGACTATGTCACCTTTTCTGTGGTAACACCATCAAGACAAATGTTTTTATATTTATACAGAACTATAAAAATCTGATGAGCAACTTGCTGTGGAATATGTTTTGATACTCCTTGACCTTTCCTTTTGTGCCAACCTAAGGCCAAAATGTTGATTTTACCCAGACTTTGCATCCACCATTTAATGACCCCATAGCCTGTATTGTGACAATCCCTTTATACTTGCTTTATGGATAGACACGTGAACATTGCAACCTCAAGAGTGACTCTAGAGAGCGCTCCTTGTCTTCTGAGGTGTGACGCCCTTTCTGTGTGGCTGATTTTGGTGTTGTACTGAGCTGTCAGTCCCACCTCACCTGGCCTGAGAATGTCATGATGTTGAACAGAGAGTCCCTGAATGAAGCCTTAGTCAGCAGGGTCTGGATCAGCAGGCGTTTCACTGACCCCAGAACAGCTCTCATGTTCTCTGAGCTCTCCACAACAAAAGTGATGTTGCACCTCTGTTTGCCCAGAAACAGTGGAATCAGTGCAGCCTCAGAGGCCATCGTCTGCCTGGATGTCATCCCTGTACCACAATAATGTCAGGAAATGACATAATTGTTGAGAAAAACAGGATGCAAAAGAGAGAGAGAGAGAGAGGGATCATGTGTTTTAGACCATTGTCAAATTTAATGTTGTAATTCTACAAACACCAAAAGCAGTAATACTAAAAATATCTGATTGTTTTGTGATCAAAACACAAGTAACTTGTGTAAATGTGAGCTAAGCCATTTAACAAAAAAGTTAGGTTCCAAGTTTTGTCTGCTGAAAAATGTTTTTCGTTGTAATCATTGTAATGAAGTTGTTATACCATGTTTTTATGGAAAAAGTAATTAATTACTCTAGTTATTATCTGTTTGCTAATGTGTGTGTAAACAGTCATCTTATTCTTAAATTTCCTTTATTTAAATTGAGAGTCCATGTTTATCCACAACTATGAAACTGTACACACATTTAGAACTTACTCCTCCTCTGACTAAATAACAGGAAACACAATAACTGTGTTTATGTTATGAACAGGAGGAAGTTAAATATGTGACTCTTTTATTTTTCTTTGCTCTGACAGTTAATACACAGATAAAGTGAGCGGGTACATTACCTGCAGTTTTTATGCTGCCAGCTGCAGACGACAACCTCTCCTAACTGTTGATGTTGGTTTCCATGGAGAAATGTTCAAGACTGAGTCAGTCTTCTTCGTGGCCACTGGAAGGGGCTGTTCGCCTGCCAATCAGCTAACTGGGGGAACGTTACCAAACACTGCTGTCATGCTACAGTTGCTATGGTACAGTCACAGGTCAGCTGACCAATTAAAGCTCCTCTCCAGCCCTTCCTGAACAGACAGGGGCGAGAAATGATCCCTGTTGGTGTGCCAGGATTTTTCTTCCGTTCTTATTAACAGCTTTAATTATGTCAGACTACCTTTGGCTGCCCCAGTTTCATAAATGGCTCTCAGATAAAATGGCACACGGGCTATAGTTACTATGCGTACTGTATGTATGATTTTCCAAAATGCTAAACCTCCTATGAAAAATCAGGCAAAAACACAGAAAAACTTTCACATCATTTAGGATTTTATTCGATATCCAGTGCTGCACTTTGTTACAGTCACGTGGTAAAACATATCAAGTGTCACTATCATTTTGTAAACATTAAAAGGCAGTGACCTCAATGCAAATACATGTTTTGGACTAGAAAATACATTTACAACATTATAAAATACCGTAAACAAACAGTTGTTTTGTACTAAGCTTATCAGCTACATTCCACATGAAATAAAAACGCATCTGACCTTTGTTCTAGCCCACTGTGAATTTATAGGATACAACTATAAATCACAATTCTAACAGTCTACAGCACTATGGGTTCTATTAATAATTAGTTTACTAGCCGCACAATACGTACTACTGTAGTGACAGCTAAGACATGATCATAGGCTACAAGAATGCTGCAGGAGGATCTGTTCATGGGAGCAGCTGCTGTGCAAACCACTGCTTTATGTAAAAATAAGTGAAGTCAAAGTGGATCATCTGACGAATGAACGCAGCAAACAAAGAGAAAGTGAGAATTTATGAGGTGAGAAATCTTAAGTTCCCCAATGAGGCATCTAGTTGTAGAGTAAATAATTCTATTGCTTTTGGTCACTGTGCGTGTTGGGGACAAGCGAGGTCAGTATCACAGGTCGCGGAAGTCATAGGAACTGTTGTGCAAAAAGAAGAAAAGAAGAAGCAGAACTTGGTGACATTGATCAGCAGAATGGTGTCTGTTGTCTAATCATGGTCTTTGTGCCTGTGAATGTTACACATACTGATTCGACATATCCAAACATTTTATGTATTTACTATTTTGTGATGAAAAAAGTCACAAGCTCCTGCTTTAGTTTGTGTTCTCCCTCAGTGCCCCCCCCCCCCCC